ATGGATGCCATGGGTAGAGACACAATACTGCAAGCAGCAAGGTCAAAGAAGGAAATCACATACAACGGAGCACCCCTTAGATTAACAGCAGATCTATTAGAAGAAACCCTCCAAGCCCGAAAGCAATGGCGAGATATAGTGAAAAAAACTCACCAAAATGAATGCTTCACCAAGAATACTCTATCCAGTGAAACTCTCAAACCCGGAGGAACGGTACACATTTTCTAGATAAACAGCTCAGGAATTTCATAGACTAAAAACCAAACCTAAAACAAGGGCTAAAGGGGCACTATAAGACAAGACAAACCCTACAACCACAACAGACCCTTACAAAAAGATGACACAAAACCCCATAATAGTAATCTCTCTCAATGTCAATGGTCTAAATTCACCATTGAAGAGACACAGAGTGGCAAAATGGATTCAGACAGAACCCAACACTCTGCTGCCTACAAAGAAACTCATCTCAACAGTCAGAGCAAACACAGACTCAAAGTGAGAGGATGGAAAACAATCCTGCAAGCAAACAGCTACCTCAAAAAGCTGGGGCGGCCATACTAGTATCTGACAACATTAATTTCACGTTGAAAAATATTAGAAGGGACAGCGAAGGATATTTTCTCTTCATCAAGGAATACGTACAACAGGAGGAAATCACACTCTTAAATGTATACGCACCTAATGAGGGAACAGCTAAATATTTAAAACAACTGCTAACAGATTTTAAGAAGGACATTACTTGCAACACAATAGTACTTGGAGACTTCGACATCGCCTTATCACCTCTGGATAGATCAACAAGAACAAAATCCAGCAAGGAATCATTGGCTTTGAAAGAAGAAATAGAAGAGAAAGGACTTATAGACCTATACAGGACTTTACACCCCCGAAAAAAAGAATACACATTCTTCTCCAGTGCGCACGGAACATTTTCCAAAATAGACCATGTGCTAGGCCACAAAACATACCTCAATAGAATCAGGAAGATAGAAATAGTAACAACCATCTTTTCAGACCACGATACACTGAGGATGGAAGTAAATCACACACAGACACGAAGAACCAAATCAAACACCTGGAAATTAAACAACTCAATGCTGAACAATGAGTGTGTCAGGAAGGAAGTCAAGGATGAAATCATAAGATACCTGAAAACAAATGAGAATGAAGACACAAGCTACCAGAACTTATGGAATGCAGTGAAAGCTGTATTAAGGGGAAAATTTATAGCTCTGCAAGCATATCAGAGGACTGTAGAAAGGATGCACAGAAACAACTTGACTTCACAGCTCAAGACCTTAGAAAAGGATCAACAGAAAGAGCCCAAATCAGACAGAAGGAAAGAGATCATACAACTTAGAGCAGAAATCAATGACATGGAAACCAAAGAAACAATCCGAAAGATCAATGGAACCAAGAGCTGGTTCTTCGAGAAAATAAACAAGATAGATAAACCACTAGCAACACTCACAAAGAAACAGAGAGAACCCTAATAAACCGAATCAGAAATGAGAAGGGGGATATCACAACAGAAACCAAAGAAGTTCAAAAGATAATCAGAGACTACTTTGAAAGTCTGTATGCCACAAAACAAGAGAACCTAGAAGAAATGGATAAATTCCTGGATTCCTATCATCTCACAAAGCTGAATCAAGAAGATCTTGAGTACCTGAATAGACCTATTAACATCAAGGAAATTGAAACTGTAATCAAAAGTCTTCCCAAAAACAAAAGCCCAGGTCCAGATGGATTCAATAGCGAATTTTTCCAAACATTTAAAGAGGACCTACTGTCAGTTCTTCTCAAGATTTTCCAGGAAATTGAAAAAACAGAAACTCTCCCAAACAGTTTCTATGAAGCCCATATCTCTCTAATATTAAAAGGAAACAAAGATAGCACAAGAAAAGAAAATTACAGGCTGATATCCCTGATGAACACGGATGGAAAGATTCTCAACAAAATACTAGCATATAGAATTCAACTACTCATCAAAAAGATCACACACCATGACCAAGTAGGATTCATCCCCGGGATGCAAGGCCAGTTTAACACTCGGAAATCAATCAACATAATCCATTATATCAACAAAAGAAAAGATAAAAATCATATGATCTCAATATATGCAGAGAAAGCATTTGACAAGATCCAGCACCCATTTATGATGAAAATCCTTGCCAAAATGGGGATCGAGGGGACTTTCCTCAATTTAGTTAAAGCCATCTACCACAAGCCTACAGCAAGCATCATCCTCAATGGGGAAAACTGAGAGCCTTCCCCCTAAGATGAGGGATGAGACAAGGATGTCCACTCTCTCCACTGCTGTTCAATATAGTACTGGAAGTACTTGCAATAGCACTTAGGCAAGAAAAAGATATTAAGGGCATCCAGGTAGAAAAGGAAGAAATCAAGCTCTCACTATTCGCAGATGATATGATACAATATGTAGAGAACCCTAAAACCTCTACCAAGAAACTCCTAGAAACAAGAGACTTGTATAGTGAAGTTGCAGGCTATAAAATCAATATCCAATAATCCATGGCTTCCCTTTACGCAAATAGTGAAAGAGGAGAAAGTGACATGAAGAAAACAATCCTGTTCACAACTGTGCCCCAGAAAATCAAGTACCCAGGAATCAGCTTAACTAAGGAAGTAAAGGACCTGTACAAAGAAAACTACAAGACGCTACTTCAGGAAATAAAAGAGGATATGAGGAAATGGAAAAATATCCCCTGTTCATGGATCGGGAGAATTAACATTGTCAAAATGGCAATACTTCCCAAAGCACTGTACAAATTCAATGTGATCTCTATAAGGATACCCATGACATTCTTCAAAGAAATGGAGGAAACACTCCTGAAATTTATATGGAACAATAAGCCCCCACGAATAGCTAAAGCAATTCTTGGGATAAAGAAAATGGGAGAAAATCAACTTCCCTAACTTCAAACTCTACTACAAAGCAGTAGTATTAAAACAGCATGGTACTGGAACAAAGGTAGAGCTATAGACCAATGGAACAGGGTGGAATATACTGAAATCCCTGCCCAAGCATATGATCACCTAATCTTTGACAAGGGGGCAAGAAAAGTGGAGTAAGGAAAGCCTCTTTAACAAATTGTGCTGGAAAAAACTGGACGGCTACATGAAAACACGCGGGCTTAGATCTCTGCCTAACAACATGTACAAAAGTAAGATCAAAGTGGATTAAAGAAGTCAACATCAGACCGGAATCCATAAAGTACATTGAAGACAAAGTTGGCAAAACTCTCCATGACATTGAAGCTAATGGTATCTTCAAAGATGTCACGCCACTGGCCAAGCAAGTGAAAACAGAGATAGACAAATGGGACTATCTTAAACTAAGAAGCTTCTGCACCTCCAAAGAAACAGTGACCAAAATACAAAGACAGTCTACAGAATGGGAAAGGATATTCGCCGAATACACATCTTACAAGGGGTTGATATCAAGAATATACAAAGTACTGGTTGAACTCCACAAGAAGAAAACATCCAACCCCATCAAAAAAATGGGGAGATGAACTGAACAGGAACTTTCTCAAAGAAGAAATCCGAATGGCAAAAAAGGCACATGAGAAAATGCTCCTCATCATTAATCATCAGGGAGATGCAGATCAAAACCACAATCAGATATCATTTCACACCACAGAGACTGGCCCACACCCACAAGAACAAAAGCAACCGGTGTTGGCATGGATGTGGCGAGAAAGGGATCACTGCTAATGGGAATGCCGACTGGTTCAGTCCTTTTGGAAAACAGTATGGACGATTCTCAAAAAATTAGAAATTGAGCTCTCATTTGACCCAGCAATACCACTCCTGGGAATATATCCCAGAGACTCAAAAAAGTATAGTCGAAGTGACATCTGCACTTGTTTACTAATTGCAGCACTCTTTACAATAGCCAGAATCTGGATAAAACCTGAGTGCCCAAGAACAGATGACTGGTTAAAGAAACTTTGGTACATTTACACAATGGAGTACTATGTAGCTGTTAGAAAAGATGAAGTCATGAAATTTACATACAAGTGGTATTACATGGAAAGTATCATGTTAAGCGAAATGACTCAGAAAGAAAGGGATAGACATAGAAAGATTGCTTTCATCTGGGGAACATATAGTAACAAAATAGGAGACTAACACCCAAGAATGGCCGAGATTAGTACCAGGAATTTTACTCCATGGCTTGGAGGCCAACCACACACGCCAGGGGGAAAGGGAGCTCAGATAAAGAGGGGAAAACCAAATAAAGGTGTTGGGAGGATCCTCCCAGGATGGGAGAAGTATGCTGAAAGTAGACTATAGACCAAACATGATTGCCACTCAATGCCTCTTTTGCAAACCACAACCACCAAAAGGAGAGAGAGACTAAAAGGAAATGCCTGTGGCAGGGTGGGATGGGGGAGTGGGGGGTGGGAGGGATATTGGGATCCGGGTGGTGGGAAATGGGCACTGGTGGAGGGATGGGTATTTGGGTATCATTGTATAAATTGAAACCCAAGCACAAAAATTTGTAAGTCTACAACTGTACCTCATTGTGTCTCACTAATAAAAATTAAAAAAAAAAAGACTACAGAATGTTAAGGGCAAGAGGCACATTCTTTTAAAAATTTCTCAGGAGGTTAAGTGTATGTATTTGAGAACTAAATATAACACCAGTGTTATCTTTCTAAAAATGTTTGCTCAGTTATACTTCTTTGATAATGCAAAGCTGCCACTTCAGTAAATCTCTGACTCATCTCTTAAGCTTTCAGAGCTCCTACAAGCCAAGTATTATGCTTTGTATGATGCAGTAGACAGTAAGGATTAAAATAGTGATAGTGCATGATAAAGCCTTAAATTGTTGGTTTAACAAGGAAAAACTTGTTAAGAACAATGAAATCAGAGAAGAAAGCTATCAAATAAAAAGGGTTGTGACTTAAAATTCACAGCAACACATAAAACTAAATCACAGTAACATTGTTCCACAAACACTAACTTACCTCAAGCTGATGCAGTAGAGCTTTTCCTTTTTTATTGATTTCTACCATCAGTGTAAATATAGCAACTTTAATATCTTGTTCCACCTGCTTTTGATTTTGATTTACTTCAATTATCCTGAAAATAAAGAAGAAAAAAATACGATACAATGTAAGCCATGTTTGTCTTTAAAATTAGTTTTTAACGTCTAAATTAGACCAAAATGCTTTCTACTTTTTAAAATCTTTACTGTTTCTAAGGGACTTCAGTGTAAATAGAGCTTCTTGAAGATGAGTTAGGAGAAAATTCTTCTGGAAGACAGTCACCTAATTGAATCTTAAAATCAAAATGTATAAAAGTAGAAACAAAATGAACACATTCTGAGAAAATATGATTTGGAGATACGATGACAGCCAAGAACATCAATTTTTGAGCAAAAAGAATAGTTGGTGACAGAGAGGATAAAGAAAACTATACTGAACACGCTATATCTGCATTCAATGCAAGTAGGAAGTCGCAGTATAAAAATGGGGCTCTTATCTTAGGCATCTGAAGTGCTGGCATGCTCACTCTACCTGAATAGAAGCAAAGACCTAGACTGCTCCTTCCTATAAAACCTGTCTTGAAATAAGTAGCCAAATAATTACTTTATCAACCACCATGTTTCTTCCTTTGATTAGAGAAAATAGGAATGCTACTTTCATTAATATTAAAATAGAAAGAAAACAAACATTCATGACCACAGAGCACCCAATAGAGGCAGAAAACAATGTGGCACCCACCAACTATTATTATAGGTAAAAAGTTCATTTCTTCTGCTTCCCCAAAAGTTACTCTGCCCAATCTTAAGACCAAAGGGTAGAGTTTTCATTTTCTACTGCAAATTCTTCAAGACAATTATTTGACCTTGGCATTACCTACAGAATCAAGGTAATCAGATAGGGAAACAAACAACCCCTAAAGTAATTTGAATTCTCATGATAGCAGAACAGGATGAAGAAAAGTGGTGACCTGTTTGCATATGATAAAGAGGAAGAGTACAGTAATTCAGTCTAGTATTGTAATCTTTCTATAATCAGGTAGGCTATAAAGATATGGCTGTTGCACTGAATTCTTAAATTCTTTAATTCTTACAATTTAAATTAAAATTCTTCTTACAAGTCTTAGTAGCAAATGACACCTCCCCCACCATCCAATTTCATAACCAAAAACACCTTGAGTATAACCAGGTTTTTGAAAACACACATTAAAAAAAACAATGATATAAATTATGCTTATTACAAATCATGTACTTAACATGAATGACTCAAATTTTACACTATATAAATACTATGACTGCCCTCTTTGTTGGATTCAGGTTTGAAACCCTTAATATGCCAACACAAAAATATTTGAAATGAAGTCATGAAATTTGCTTATATATGAATGGATATGAAAAGTAACATGCTGAATGAAATGAGTTTAAAAAATGGTGGATAGACATAGTATGACTGCACTCACTTGCGGGATATAAAAAAACAGTACGAGAAAAATACCCTCAATAGAAATGAGGGCCAAGAGGACCAGTCTATGGTTGGAATGATAGTTGGTAAAAGGAGGTAAACAGATATATGTGATAATGTTTCAGTACCTGAATTGCAAACCACAATGCCTGAAAGAGAGAGAGAAACTGACAGAGAGAGACAGAGACAGAAACAGACACAGAGAGACAGAGAGACAGAGAAGAAAAATGTCTGCTACAGAGGCAGGCTGGGGAGGGTGGCAAGAGGGAAACACTGGTGGTGGAAAATGAATGCAACTTCTGAAGAAATGGGTATTGAAACACTGTATGACTTAAAATTATGAACAATTTTGTAACATGTATTGCACACTGATTGAATAAAAAGTTGGGGGAGGGAATTTTTTTAGTTTATTTTGAATGGAAAAAGTTTTAAAATTTTCTGTTAGTCTGTTAAGTGAAATGAGTTTTAAAAAAGGGGGATAGACATAGTTTTTCTTTTCTTTTTGTGTCACACCTGGTGATCCACAGGGGTTATTCCTGGCTCTGCACTCAGGAATTACTCCTGGCAGTGCTAGAGGGGACCACATGGGATACTGGGAATTGAACACGAATAAGCCGTGTGCAAGGCAAACGTCCTACTTGCTGTGCTATCACTCCAGCCCCAGACATAATTTTTTGATCTAGCCAAGTCCAAGTATGGGTGATCTTGATAGTAGTAATACAACAGGTTCTATCCACTTTCTCTTGGAATTGTGCTGTATCATTTGATCACCTGACATCCCGTTACTCATCGATTTGTTCGAGTGGGCACCAGTAATGTCTCCATTCGTCCCAGTTGCATACTAGTGTAACCCAATGGCATCTGCTCACTCCAGGAAGATGAAGAGGCTCAAACTGTTCATTCAGGGTTTGGAAGAAGAAGTCTGACCATCTTGTAGGTGGGGGGGCCATATGATATGATCTTTTAATGTCCTGTGGAATCCAGTTGGTAATGGCAGCAGTTGTCTCCAAATTGCATTACATGTCCAGCCCACCCACCTGTTTTTGGACGCCTTGGCAAACAAGGCAGCACCCCAGATTCTCCATCGTCGAAGGAGGTCGGAACTCTGGATTCCTTCTCTCACTTGAGTGAAGTATGATACTCCAAGCATACCTCTTTTGATTCCTCTTTGGGAGACCTGAATAGTGTTCTCATCCTGTTTTCGTAGGTCCCAGGTCTCTGAGGCATATGTTAATGCTGAAAGAACAGCAGATCAGGAGATAGTTGCCGATGTCGTGGATGTCTCCCTTCTTGTACAGTAGAAGGGTCCTGCTGGTTTTCCACTGGGATGGAACCTTACATTCAGACAGGTAGCGTGTGAAGAGCTGAGCCATTGTATTGACTAATACTGATGGCAGATTCTTCAGGTGTTCGGGTCTGACCTTGTCTGGACTGGGTGCTGTTCACTTCTTTACCGAAGAAATGGTGTGTCAGATTTTGGAAGGGAGAACACTGGGAATGACATATCCATCCTGCGGAATTTGGTATGTGGGCAGGTGGACGTGGCTATCGAAGAGATCCAAGCAGAAGTCATTGCCCTTCTGTAAGATGTGATAGATCCATCAGGACATTGGAGAGTAGCCATCTTGGTCTTGTAGTTGGCAAAGGACAGGCAGGCGTTGTGAATGCTTAGACCAGCACTGCTGCTCTTCTCTCTTTAAGATCTTCCTTTATGGCTTCTCTGCACTGCTTTTCAAGCTCGGACATTAGCTTGTGGTTGCCTGAGGGCCACGCCAAACCACATTGGTGAGTAAGCTTGAGCATTTTTGAAAACAGGCGTATTTTTGCGGCTTTCTCTCCCTTGGCGTTCCTCGTATAGTCATGCTATATATCTGCCTCTAATATCATGTGATCGATAGTCCCAATTGACAGAATTTTGAAGGGCTGATGTCCCCTTTTGCTGGAGGGCTTGTCTTCCACGTCCACCACAATTGCACACAGTTTTCTCCATGGATCTCCTAGTAGGCCCACCTGGCATTGTGAATGGAAGGCACACTAGTACAGAGCACCTGGTCCACAGAGCTAGCCTTGGGGACCCAGCCATGCACTCTCTTTTAGACAATCTGGCAGCCTTCCCACAAGCACAAAACAAATATTTTAATAAAGGAACCACAAATAAGTTTACAACCCAAAACCTTGAGCTCAATAAGGTTTATAAAAACAAAACAAAAATTCTACTAAGCAAACTTTCAAGATTTAGGACTCTGAGAAAGTAAGATTTATGAAACCAAGAATCTTAATGTAAAGGACAAAGATTTCAGGACCTCAAAGAACAGGATAAGGAGTTAGAGGCAGGAATTTTAATGAGTACTAACAGAATTTATATCCTAAAGAGTCTGGAGCACGATAAAGTTTTAGGAAGGCTCTAAAAATTTATGTGTGAAAGGCCCCCCAAATTTATGAACACAATAACCGAACTCAAGTAACTTGCTCATTAAAATCATCCAAAATTGATGAGACTCTTCCTCTATCTGTAAATGTTCCTTACCTTATGTGAACTTCCACTGGGGGCACTAAAAAGAGAAAAAAAAAAAAAAAAGAAAAGAAGAGACACTCTCATGGCTTTATGGAACCATGCTGGTGCCGAGTGCCCATTCCTAGGCAGCTTCTATATTGCACAAGCCTTCCACCCAACAGGGAGAACAAGGGAGAGCTCTCGCCTAAAGGGAAACACCCTCAACAAAAGAAAATGGAGTCTGCCCTCTGAGTGAAGATCCACCTACATTTCTTGTGGGTGTACTGTTCCTTTAACAAAATTTATTTTCATCTTTCTTATCTTTGGTCTTTTCTCATTATTCATCCGAAGTTGGGAATTGCTGTCACTTCGCTATGTTTGCCCCGGTCAATTCTTTGGTCAGGAATTTTAGGGGGAATCCTAAAAGGGAAGAGGTACTTTTCTCCTTCCCTCTGCAATAACGCACTGATTTACAAAGACACCAAAGATACTACTGAATGCAATAAAACTGTCCCTGGAACAAATGGACAACTAAACTGTGGAGAAAGTGAACACTGCTAGGCCCACAGCTCTCACCATGTACACACAGTGAAGGAGTAAAAACAGTAATGTTCAAAGTGTAAATTCCATCAAGAGTGGATCTTTTACTTAAACTTATTTTCAATTGCTCCCTTTTGCCACTAGATGGTAGAAATGCCTGTAATTATTTCTTTGCGATTCCACATTTTCATAAATTTACGATTACTCAGATACACACAAGCCTTTAAAAAACCACAAATTATTCTCTTTGGCAAAATGTAGCACTCTGATTAGAATATGATAAAGGAAATTGTATCTACATAAACTAATATAGAAGAAAAAGTTAAAAATGCAAAATAAAAACTGATTGTACCGCTGTGACAGGAATTAAAAAGAGCTGATAAAATAGTAAGAAAAAAAAGACACAACGTATAATAATGGGTAAACACAAAAATGAAACTATGTATAAGAACATCTTCAAAGGAAACCACACAGTTCAGGGGATTACTTAGAGGGAAAAAGAACCCATAAAGTCCTATACTAGGTTTCAAAAGATTAGAACAAAAGACAATTATTATGATTTAATCTTCCTTGTGAACAACAGTCAAATACATTGTGTGTACCTCTTTTGTGCTGGGAAATCAAATCCTGGGGTAGCTGCTTGCAAGGTGAGTATCTTGCCTGCTGTTTCTCTCTCTCTCTCTCTCTCTCTCTCTCTCTCTCTCTGTCTCTTTCTCTCCCTCTCTCCCTCTCTTTCTCTCCCTCTCCCTCTCTGTCTGTCTGTCTCTCTCTCCCTCTCTTAGACACCCCCTTGGTTATTTGTGTATGAAAACCAAAGAGTAACATGTGATTCTGCTGATGGTAAAGGTCTTAATTAAATGTCATTATATGCTAATGGGATTGTATGAAAGTAAGTTACACTCCATAATCCTCATAGCGGTTAGTGACTCGCTCCCTTAATCACTGAATTATGGGCCATGGGTCTTGCTTGGACAGTTGGGGAGATTAGGACATACAAGAACTATTTGAGCATGCTAATGGACACTCAACTGTGTAAACTGTGCTACACAGTTTAAGTATCCCCTGTCTCCTGGTGTCCTAACAACTCCTCCTCACCGCAATTAAAAAAAAAAAAGTGCAGAGAAGGCGTAAAGTCTTAGCAATCGTGTGCCATAATATATTACAATAATGACCAGAACTGTAAAATGGTTGATACTCTTTTTAAATCCTAGAATTTCTTTTAAAACTGGAAAGGGGGTCAGGGAGATAGTACAAGGATCAAGAAGCATGGTTTGCACTACATCCCCTAGTACCAGAACTGGTCCCTTGAATAGCTACAGGAGTAATACCGGAGGACTGAAAGAGGATTTGACCCTAGAAGACGCTGGTTGTGGTACCTCTGCCCCTCTCTAACTCCCACCAAATAAAATACTGCAAAACACAAATATTATATTATCAATACCTGTCAAATAAATCAACTACCAAGTGCATTTATATGAGTTTTGAAATCTTATAGCTAAAGGAATGTTTCCAATCTATAGTTTCTAGAAACCCACAATTTCTGAAAAATTCTCAAACATATTACTACTGCTAGACTGTTGGGATAAACCTTCACTTGGAGTTAAGAAAAATATGCATTCTAACGGAAACACACTTAAGATATTAAAGATGACTTATTATAATGCCATAAATACTAATTTACCTGTTTTGGATTTGATTTCCTGTGAATTTTATGTATTTTGTTTTTTCCATCAGCTTGGTAATTAGTGTATCTATGATTACTTTCTGATTCTGAAAAGCTTCTTCTATAAATTGATATCTGAAGAAAAAAAACAAGCAATTAATAATACATTTGTACATTAATATGTACCCCCTAAAAATCCAAAGTAAAAATTATTTTAAGTATTCATTACATAAATAAATATTCCTAGAAGGCATCTTTTCAAGTCATCTCAAAATTTATCCCTAATCAGCTTACTCTTAAGCCTGTGTTCTCCCTCGAACAAGTGTCTCACTTGCTTTTCTCTGTCTCTTTGCTTATGATATTTTTTTAATTCTGGAGAAGTCCATGTTCTCTTTTAAAAACACATACCCCCCACCCCTTTTCTCCTGTCACATCTTTCTAAGCAAGCTGCTTCACAAAACAAAACAATTTCCTCCTTAAGAAAGAACTCCACTATTTCCACTGCCCAGCCTCCACCACGGTCTAAGCCGTTTTCCAGACCACTCAGGCCGAGCCCCTCACATGAGTGAAGCCCCACAGAACCAGGTAAAGCGGAGCTTTGTGACCTTGGACTCCAGGCTCAATGGGACCCAGAAACAGAGATCCACTGTCTGCTTCCACCAATCTCCATCGACCCAAGGATCACACCCAGAAGACTCATCCTGCCAGAGCCAGATAAATACCTCGTCAGACGACCTCCATTATCTCAACTACCCAGCCGCCACCACACTCCAAGCTGCTTTCCAGATCGCATCATAAGACACATAATACCCATTCTCCACACCATATTCAATGGGTTTCAAATATGGTGTAAACCATGGGATCAACTGTAAAGGCGATTAGAGGCTGCTCTAAAAGCCTCCATTCCTCTCGGAAAGCAAAGCAAGCTACCAAGAGTATCCCGCCCGCACGGCAGAGCCTGGCAAGCTCCCCGTGGCATATGCTATATGCCCAAAACAGTAAAAACAATGGGCCTCATTCCCCCTGACCCTGAGAGAACCCCCAATATGGTAGCATTAAGAAGAATGAGCAAGGAGAGGCTGATAAAGTCTCAGGGCCAAACTATGCTGCCAAAACGAAGAACTAAAATGACTATCTGTACTTTCAATGCACGTACGCTTACATCAGAAGCATCCATTGAGGACCTGATGGTGCAAGTGCAGAAGATAAAATACAACATCATTGGTCTGACCAAGACGAGACGAGAAGGCATCGATCACATCACACCATTTTGGACAAGGGAGAAGAACTGTTCCTCGGAACATCCATGACATCGATAACTATCTCCCAATCTGCCTGTTATCCGTCGTCTACAAGTTGAATACTCGGGTCATCATGAATAGAATAGGCAGAACACTAGACGAAGGGCAACCATGTGAGCAAGCTGGGTTCTGAAAAGGATTCAGCACGATCGACCATATCCACACGGTGACCAAGTTCATTGAGGATTCGCAAGAGTTCAAGATGCATCTCTGTCTAACGTTCATCAGTTTAAAGAAGGCCTTTGATTCTGTTGAGACTGAAGAAGCAGTCATCGAAGCCCTAGCCAAACAGGGCGTTCAAATTCAGTACATCATCAGGATCCTCCGTGAGCTGTATCACGAATTCACTACCAGGATCTCATCATTCTACAAGGAAGTGATCATCGATGTCAAGAGAGGGGTTCAGTAGGGTGATACCATTTCACCGAAACTCTTCAGTGACACCCTCGAGAATATCATGCGATGACTGGAAGGGGAAGGAATGGGAGTGAAGATAGACGGTCACAACTACACCACCTCTGCTTCACCAATGACATCATGCTAATAACACCAAACATTAGCCAAACAACATGAACGCTGGAAGACTTTGACCGTGTGTGGAAAGGTTGGACTGCAGCTGAATCTCACGAAGACAATGTTCATGAGGAATGAACTGTTCCTGATGTTCCACTTGCTTTCAGTGGAACGATCATCTTTGAATGCAGCAGCTATGTGTACCTGAGTAGAGAATTCAACATGACGAATGACCTGGCACCTAAGTTGCGCAGGAGAAAGAGTGGCGTGGAGTGCCTTCAAGAGCGTCAAAGAAGTTGTTAAGAGGACGAAGAATCTTCAATTCCGGGTACATATTTTCAACTCTACTGTTCTTTATTGCGCTAACATATGTCTCAGAGACTTGGGTCCTACAAAAACAGGACGAGGACGCTATTCGGGTATCCTAAAGAGGAATCAAGAGCTATGCTTGGAGTAACAAACTTCACTCAAGTGAGAGAAGGAATCCAGAGTTCTGATCTCTGTCGACGATCAAGAATCAGGGATGCTGTCTTGTTTGCCAAGGCATCAAAAATCAGATGGGCCGGACGTGTAATGCGATTTGGAGAGGACCGCTGGACTAGAGCTATTACTGACTGGATTACATGGTACATCAAAAGGATGCGAGGCTGCCCACCTATGAGATGGTCAGACTTCTTCATCAAAACCCTGAACAAACAGTTTAAGGCTCTTCGTGCTCCTGGAGCGAGCAGATGCCAATGGGCTACACTAGCACGTGACAGGGATGAATGGAGATGTTATTGGCACACGCTCGAGCAAATTAATGATCAACAGGATGACAAGTGATACAAGTGAAATGATAATTGTAGCACTGTCCTCCCGTTGTTCATCAATTTCCTTGAGCGGGCACCAGTAACGTCTCCATTGTGAGATTTGTTGTTACTGTTTTTGGCATATTGCCTACATCACAGGTAGCTTGCCAGGCTTTGCCACATGAGTGGGATACCATCGGTAGCTTGCCGGGCTCTCCAAGAGGGGCAGAGGAATCAAACCCAGGTCGTCCATGTGCAAGACAAACACCCTACCCACTGTGCTAACATTTTAAAATCTTAGGTAACTCAAGTTTTTTGTTTGGGGGTGACACCCAGGAATGCTCAGGGTTACACTGACTCTGCACTCCTGGTAGTATTCGGGAGATCACTTGAAATACCAAGGACAGAAGCTGGATCTGCTGTTTGCAAGGCAAACGCCTACGTGCTCCGCTACTGTTCCAGTTCAACTCTTTTACATCAGTAAATTTTCCTTTACCATACTGTCTAGGAACTTAGCACATTACAGTGTTAAAGTAAATGGTTAAAATGTGTTGGATAATATTGGTTTGTTGCCTCAAAGAGCCTCAAACTGTTTGTTCAGGGTTTTGATGAAGAAGTTTGTCTCCTGCAGGGAGCTTAGGTTTACTGAGTTAGTACCAATCACAGTGCTCCCGAGGCACACCGAATTCTACCAGGCTCTCCTAATCCTATATTGGTTTTCTCTTATCTTTAGGTCCTTTTCATGGTAGAGCAATGTCCTTGCATAGACACAGGAAGAGAGTTGATGCAATGTTTTGTAACTTGGGAGTTTACTGACTCCAAATAATACTACTCTGCATCCATCATATTTATCTGACTTAAGCCTCAGTTGTCCTTCCTAATAACCCTAAAAGAAGGGACTTGGATGGACCCAGGGCAAGCTATAGGCTACCTTGGCACTGAAAAGGGATAGGCTAAGTGCCACAAGAAGCGCACAATCACGGAACAAACTCTGCCATGACCCAAAAAGAAGTAATTGAATAAGCAACTCTGCTGGGGTTAGGAAAGAGTAACCCGGCCCGAGGACTGTGGTCTAGGATACATAGTGGGATGTCCTCAGGAAGAGGCACCCTTTAAGCTTACTCTATCTCTTACTGTGTCCATAGAATATGACTAGAAAGATTATTAGGAAGTGAATTTAAGATGATTATTTATTTATTTGAGTGAAACACCATGAAGCACAGTTGAGGACTCACAAATTTTTGTGCTTGGGTTTCTGTTGTACAATGATCGAGTGCCCATCCCTCCACCACCAATGATCTCAGTATCCCTCCCACCCCCCTCATTCACCACATCCCAACCTGCCTCTGTGGCAGGGCATTCCCTTTTGTTCTCTCTCTCCTTTTGGGTGCTGTGGCCTGTAAAAGAGGCATCGAGTGGCAATCATGTTCGGTCTAGAGTCCACTTTCAGCATGCTTCTCCCATCCTGGGGGGAATCCTCCCAATACCCCCCATTTGGTGCTCCCTTCTACATCTGGGCTGCCTTTACCCCTAGAGAGTGAAGCTGGCCTCCAAGCCATGGAGTAGACCTCCTGGTATTTATCTCAGCTATTCTTGGGTATTGGTCTCCTATTTTGTTATGTTCTTCAGGTGACTGGGATCTTTCTATGTCTATCCCTCTTTTTCTGACTCATTTCGCTCTGCATGATAATTTCCATGTAGTACCACTTGTATGTAAATTTCATGACTTCATCTTTTCTGACAGCTACATAGTATTCCACTGTGTAGATGTACCAAAGTTTCTTTAACCAGTCATTTGTTCTCAGGCACTCAGGTTTTTTCCAGATTCTAGCTATTGTAAACAGTGCTGCAATGAACAGACAACTGCAAAGGTCGCTTCGACTATACTTTTTTTGCCTCTTCGGGGTATTTTCCCAGGAGTGGTATTCCTGGGTCAAATGGGAGCTCAATTTCTAGTTTTTTTGAGAATCGTCCATACTGTTTTCCAAAAGGGCTGAACCAGTCGGCATTCCCACCAGCAGTGAAGGAGGGTCCCTTTCTCGCCACATCCATGCCAACACGGTTGCTTTTGTTCTTTTGGATGTGGGCCAGTCTCTGTGGTGTGACATGATATCTCATTGTGGTTTTGATCTGCATTCCCTTGATGATTAATGATGTAGACCATTTTCTCATGTGCCTTTTAGCCATTCGTATTTCATCTTTGAGGAAGTTTCTGTTAATTTCATCGCCCCATTTTTTTGATGGGGATGGATGATTTCTTCTTGTGGAGTTCAACCAGTACTTTGTATATAAGATGATTATTTAAATGGTTTATGAAAGCAACATGTCCCAGATGGAATCCCACACTTGAGTGGATCTCCTAGTTTTCCAGAATGCTGAACCCCCACATGAGATTTTGTCCTAGAGTTAATCTAAAACTTTTCCTGACGGAAGAGATTTACATCTGTTTATTGTTATAATATTCAACAACAAAATGTGTACACTCTACCCCTTCACGATTTCTGTATGACTAGATTTCTATATAACTAGGCTGTAAGATAGAAATAAATTGCTTGGGGCTTCCCTCCCTCCTTCTCTTCCTCATTTGTCCATTGTCGTCTTGGTTCTCAGACATCAAACAAATGCACTCACAGTTACTTGGAACTCACAAAAATGGTCATCTTAATTTTCTTCCTAAACTTATTATTAAAAATAATACTCCACTATGATATTTTGTTATTTTCAAAACCTTTATATAATAAATCAATCTTTAACTGCAAGCTTGGTAACATTTTATATTGTGACTATAATTTTTTTAATGTTCTTCTTGACTGAGGTGTAATTTCTCCTTTATTCCTTTAATATAATTTACATAAATTATTTTCAAATGTTAAATGAAATCTATATTCCTGTAAGGCCCACATCTCTCAAAAAAAATGAAATATGGTTGGACTTTTTAAAAAACTATTTCTTAAAATGTCTACATTTATGAGACCAGTTTGTAATTCTCTTCTACTTTTATTTTCATCTCAGAATTTGGGGACCGGAGCGATAGCACAACGGGTAGGGTGTTTGCCTTGCATGCAGCCAACCCAGGTTCAATCCCCGGCATCCCATATTAACCCAGCACCGCCAGGAGTAATTCCTGAGTGAAGAGCCAGGAGTAATCCTTGAGCATCGCTGGATGAGACCCAAAAAGAAAAAACAAATTTGGCACCAGAATTATGCTGCTTTCTGCAAGAATTCAACTATTTGTACAAGTTATATAAGTTTTTCTTTTTAAGAAAAACATATGCTTATTTATTTTACAGATTCAAGGTAATCATTTAGGTTTTCTTTACAAAAATAAAAAAGCTTAAGAGGCCAGAGAGATGATAGTACAGCAGAGAAAAGTGCTTGTCTTACAAATGGCCAAGCAGGCTTCAATCCCTGGGACCCATTATGGTACCCTGAGCAGAGATAGCGCTGCCACGTGTGGTACAAAAAAAAAAAAAATAGATGCAAGTTTAAATTAAAACTTTATATTAACAGATATATTAATTATTTTGATATCTCAATTTATGTCATGGTAATTTTATCAGGTATGTTCTCTAAAAACCAATTCAATTCATATAAAATTTCCCAAATCACTGAAATATGGGAAAGCACGGAAAAAAATAAAATTGATGGATAGAAAACATGAATTAAAACAAAACTCCTTATCAACTGATGTATATCTTTCCAATATTTTCCTAAGTCATCAGTAGATATAACGAGGCCATCTCTAACTCTTAAAATTGGTTATTTTGAAAAAATTAAGTAAAATTGATTATTTGGTATTGTTCTCTTCTGAAACACTTGATTTATTCAGCTTTTCTTATTGACTCATTAATTTCTGCATCTGTCTTTACGATGCCCTTTAACTCCCTATTTTGCCTTTCCTAGCGTGACATAAGTGGGTTTTTCTTTTGGTCTACAACTACCAATGCTTAGACCTTACTCATGGAAATATGGTCATGGGTCATTTCTGGAAGTGCTTCAGGCAACGCATGTGTGGTTTCTGGTCTTGAAGCTGAGTCCATCAATGTGTACTTTTCACTCCATAGAACTAATTTTAATAATATAAAGTACCTAATCATGTGCTGGAATGATAGCACAGCGGGTAGGGCGTTTGCCTTGCACGCAGCCAACATGGCCGATCCAAGTTCGATTCCTCCGCCCCTCTCGGAGGGCCCAGCAAGCTACCGGGAGTATCTCGCCCGCATGGCAGAACCTGGCAAGCTCCCCGTGACGTATTCGATATGCCGAACACAGTAACAACGAGTCTCACGATGGAGACGTTACTGGGCCCGCTCAAGCAAATCGATGAACAATAGGAGGACAGTGACAGTGACAGTAACAACAAGTCTCACAATGGAGATGTTACTGGTGTCCACTCAACCAAATTAATGAACAAGGGGAGGACAGCGGACAGTGCAATGCTACCTAATCATAGCTTTAGCATAAATTTAGCAATAATTTATAGTATTTTCATAATCATTCAGATAGATAGTATCTAAATTTAGTAACTAATGTGATTTTATCTTTGGCACTTTAAATCTTTTTTACACATTTCATATATGCAGTTTCAATTCATTGATAGGTATTTCCATTTATGACATGTCATCTCATTTGTGACCTGTCACACCAAACTTAGCATCTGTCATGTACTATGTGGTATAAATTTCTGTTATTATTCCCACGGGCCGGAGTGATAGCATAGCGGGTAGGACGTTTGCCTTTTCACGGAGTCAACCTGGGTTCGATTCCTCCACCCCTCTCATAGAGCCCCGCAAGCTACCGAGATTATTCCACCCACATGGCAAAGCCTGGCAAGCTACCTGTGACGTATTCTATATGCCAAAAACAGTAACAAGTCTCACAATGGAGATGTTACTGGTGCCCACTCGAGCAAATTGATGAACAATGGGACGACAGTGCTACTCTGAAATAGCAAGATTAAATTTGCAATAGTATAAGTAACTGATACACACCTTCATGTAGCCATCAACTTTTCAAATACCGTGTCATTAATATCCATTTTATCCAGTTAATAATTAGTATTTCCAAGAACCCAGTACATTTTGTTACAGAACTACTGTATTATAATTATTTTTAAAATAATTATATTTTGGGTGGTTGGGGCATACCCAGCTGTGCCCTGGCCTAGTCCTGGCTCTATACTCAAGGATCCCTCCTGGAAGGGCTCTGGGGACCATACATGGTGTTGGGAATAGAATCTGCTTCTCCCTGTGCAAAGCAATTTCCTTCCCTGGTTGGTTGTACCACCCTTCTGGTCCCTAGTTGCTGTATAATTAAATAAGAACATTGGCACCTTTAGAACACTTCTTTTCATCTAATCTACAATTATGTCATTTGTCTTAATAATGACCTCTAATTTTTCTCATAAAATTTGGGAAACTGAAATTATCTAGAATTATTGCATTACTGAATTTACTTTTTATATATATTGTACTTCTTCACTTTTAAAATATAAAAATTTTCTCATTTTTTTAAAAGATTAAATTTGTATTGAGTACATATAACTACTTTTTTTGTTTGAGCCATATATACCTGGCAAGGCTCTTATGGATCATGGTGAGCTCAGGAACCATATGAAGTGTTGGAGATCAATCCTAGGTTTGCTGAGTGCAAGGCAAGTGGCCTACCAGCTGTACTATTGCTCAGGCCCCAAGAATTTAATCCTTTAAGAATTGAATAGGTTGGAAGAGATAGCTCATCAGACTGGAATGCATAGTTTGCATGAAGGAGGTCCAGGCTTAATGCCAGCACCGAATTTTTCCCTGAGCAACACCAAAAGTGAACTCACCGAACCCTTAGCACAGTTAGAGTAACCTGAGCACTGCCAGCTATGACCAATCTTCCACCCTCAAAATTAAATAAATAAAATTTCAGATTTTGCTTTGGAATATAGACAATTAAAATATTTATTTTTGACAAATGTTTATTATTAAAAAGAATGCACATCAGCACCAGCAATATAATTTCAATTTAATTCAACTTTGGGTACTAACAACATTTGAAACCAAGCTCTTGCCATGTGAGGTTACTAGTTAGATCATCTTTGATATAACAATTTGCTAACATTAAAGTTAGAAGACAGTGCAACCCCTATGGCCTCTGACTCGATTCCAGGTCTTCTCAGCACTGGGAGCTGATTAAAAGTACTTTATGGCCAATCACTTAAAGGAGGAGAAAAAGAAACATTCTCTGTCCCCACTCGAAACCTGGCCCAGTAATTCTTTGCTATTTTATTAGCTCTAGTTTATTTAATCAATGATTCATTCTGTTCAAGCTTTGGGGCTATATCCAGCAATACTTAGGGGTAACTCCTTGTTCTCAAGAATCATGCCTGACAAGGCTCTAGGGACCATATGGGATGCTGGGGATTTAAACTGGATGGCCGCATGCAAAGCAAATGCCCTCCATGCTACACTATTGCTCCAGTCCCAAGAATCTAGAACTATGGGTAATAGAAAAAGATATTTAATTCTAAAGAGCAACAAGGTCAATTCTAGTCAAATGCTGACTTAAAATTATGAGACCCAGGGCTACAATTTACACTTTCTCAACAAGTTACAGATCTAAGTTTTTGGAGGTGGGTGGGGTTTGGGCTCTACATGGCGGTGCTCAGGGGCTACTGAGGGTCCATGCTCAGGGTTTACCTCTTTGCAGTGGTCGAAATGTCAGAAATTTGAATCTAGGATGGCTGCATGTGCTACCTCCTTTACCTCTCTGGTCGAAGATTTAGATTTTTGAAATGTATAATCTCCATATTTTCTAACAATGGCAACTAATTCCATATATGCTACAACAGTATATAAACCACTAACACCCAGTTCAGTATGATTTTATTACTACGGGCATTTAATAATATCTAGAGACACTTAGGGCTTTATCACAAGAAGAGAATGTCACTGACATTTTGTAAATAAAGGCAGAAAACATCATCTGTCACTGTCACTGTCCTGCCGTTGTTAATTGATTTGCTCAAGCGGGCCCAGTAACGTCTCCATTATGACAATTGTTACCGTGTTTGGCATATCAAACATGTCAAGGGTAGCTTGCCAGCCTTTGTTGTGCAGGCAAGATACTCTCAGTAGCTTGCCGGGCTCTCCGAAAGGGGCGGAGGAATCGAACTCCAGTCGGCCATGTTGGCCGCTTGCAAGGCAAACGCCCTACCCACTGTGCTATCACTCCAGCCCCAGAAAACATCATACTATGCCAAATATCACATCAGGCGCACAAAAAAATTAAGTGGCCCAAAATGTCACAGAGCCAAAGCTGAAAAGAACTCCAAGAAGCCAAAATATTACAAGCTAAGCAAAGATATTTGTAAACTGCCATTGGCTGGGCTGTCAGAAGCCCTCAAGAGCTGGACTATGAATCTATGTATAAACTGGACGACTCTGGTACCTGTGCTCTTTATGTTCTAGTAACTGGCAATCCCGACATGTCAGTTTATCACATGTTTCACAGTAAAGCTTCAGCTGTTCCTTTTTATGGAAAGGACAAAACACTGGCCTCTGACTGGTCACACCAACTGCTTCTGTAGAAAAAAATGAGAAGCAAAAACATAACAATAGTAAATAATTAATAATCATCCATTTAAATTCAAATCCATTAATAAAAGAGCAACAGTTTAATATTAGTACCTCAAAAGAAAAAGATAATCTTTTCTTTTTTAAATAAGCTTTTCATTTTTCAAAGTAAATACTCAAAGAGAAAAAAGAAAAGGGCTAAGAGTATAGTTTTAAAATGCTTTTCAGAATTAGTACTAATACCTCAATTAGTGTGAGCCAACTGAATCTTTTCTCTGCTTAATTAGGCAAAACATTTCAAATGCAATAAAAATGTCTAATGAAAATATAAAAACAGGACAATAAAAACATTATTCTTCCGATACTGCAAAAAATCCCAAAGGAAACACACTGATAAAGTGTCAACTATCCCACTGTAGTTATCCAAGTAACTTCAATAGTTTCTCAAAGTGGGACAAAACTGGTCATGCTTATGTTTAGTATAAAAATCAGAGAACAATTAGTAATTACTTATTCAGGAAGTAATTTCATCTCACAAATAATTAAAGGCAAAACCACAAATACTTCAGGGAAAATATTCCACTTCCACAGATAACCATTATTAATAACCTGCTGTGTGTTTCATTATTTAATATTCCATTTACACAACACCATATATAGTATGGTGTTTTGTGTAAAAAAAGCTATTACACATTATCTTTTAAAATTCCTTTTCTCTTAACTATGTTTTATATACCCTTCTATGTTAGTAAATACATGTACTTATTATTGCAATATTCCGTCAAATGGATATATCATCTGCCTATAAACACGGAACGTTTCTTATTTTTTAATGCTGTATAATAATGTTGAAATAAACATGAAATTTATAAGCTACTAAATGTCATGAAATAAATTCATAGGAGTAGAATTATTAGATCAAAAGCAATTTATGTAGCTATAATTAACTGCCCCCCACACACACAAACTTGTCACGCTAAGGTGTAGTCTAAATATTTTAGCTCTTTGCCAATTGAAGTGTCAATTTTTTTTTTTAATGCAGGTACTGGGTTAACTGCAGATATTCATGTGGTAGAGCACACATCCAGAACACTGAAGTTTTCAATTTCATCCCCAGAACCTGCAGAGCCCCACGAGTAATGCCATGTGTAGCCATGGTGGCTGCCAGGCTCACACGCACTGGTTGGGCATAAGGGAATAATTCCTATTTAAAAACAAGCAAGCTGACCAAATGTGTTGGCCTCTTAGTATCTGTATTCCAAATAGCAACACCCAAAAGTAGAGAGAGAGAAAGAAGGAATGGACCTGCCACAGAGGGAAGTGGTGGGACGGAGCAGGGGTGGCGGGAAGGACACTGGGAACAATGGTAGTGGAAAATGTGCACTGATGGAGGGATGTGTGCTCAATCATTGCATGGCTGAAACTTAATCATGGAAGTTTGTAACTGTATCTCAGTAATCCAATCAATCAATCAATCAATCAATCAAACAAGCAGTAACCACCACGTTTACTATTCCTTGATACATTTTTTAAATAAGTGACATTTTTCATTCATCAACTTCATTTTTCTTTTACCAATTTGCAATTACAAATGATGTATTATCAGCCAAAGAATTTAGAACACTTTTTTCCCAGTATGAGATAATATGTAGTATTTTAAAATTTAGTATTAAAATTTAACCAGATTTTTTAAAAAAAAATTGGAGGGGGGTGGTGGTGGCTGGAGCAATCGCATAGTGGTAGGGGGTTTGCCTTGCGTGCCGAGCCGAGTTCAATTCCTATGCCCCTCTCAGAGAGCCCAGCAAGCTACCAAGAGTACCTCACCAGCACGGCAAAGCCTGGCACGCTACCTGTGATGTATTCAATATGCCAAACACAGTAACAAGTCTCACAATGGAGACATTCCTGGCCCGCTTGAGCAAATCGATGGACAACGGGTGGACAGTGCTAAAGCGCATGCCGGGTTACAATATTAAAATTTATTTAAAAATCCCAAGAACTGGAGAAATTATACAACAGGCAAGGCACTTGCCTTGCACATAGCTGACTTGGGTGTTGATACTTACAGCACCAAGGTCCCTCTAGTTTACCAGCAGTGATCCCAGAGCACAGAACCAGGAGTGGCCCTGCCGATGTGGCCCAAAAACAAAAGCAAAATTCCTCTAAAACTTTTATAGAAAAGTAATGTATTTTTATGACTTGGCTTCTTGGGAATAACTTTCTGTTCACACGCAATGAAACTGTTGAAACCAGAAACAAATGAGACTGAAGCTTGGAAAAATTTCCACTTTCTTTCAATGAATTCTTAAAATTGACAAAAATTTACAATCACGCTATTCAGCACCTTGCTATTTTTCACTTAATATAATTCTGTTCTTCCTCTCTCCCATCTTTATAATTCACCAAAACAGAAATTAGCAACACATATATGACCTCCAAATGCCCTCATCACCCTCAATATCTAAAAAACAGCAAAAGAGTAACAAATCATACTTTAATTTTGGGAGTACAAGGGACTTTGGGATCATATTTTGTAGTACAATAGCATTACTCATTGCTCTGTGCTCAGGGGATTATGTAGTGCTTGGGATTAAAAACAGAACTGGCTGCATGCAAGGCAAACCTTATTCCATATATTCAAACCAAGTGCTTTAATCACTATACCATGTCTCCAGCCCTAAAAATCATAATTCAAGCTTTAAGCACTTATTTTTCTAAAAAAAGGTAAAGGTAAAGGTAAAGGCCCTCCCGTTGATCGTCGATTTGCTTGAGCGGGCCCAGTAACGTCTCCATTGGAGACTTTGTTGTTACTGTGTTTGGCATATCGAATACTCTCAGTAGCTTGCCGGGCTAGTAGTTCATCTCAAAGAATTAAAAGTTTCATTAATGACAGGAAAGACAGGATTATTACCACAATAAACCCAATACAAAATAAAAGTTAATGCAATGCATCTTAGATACTAGAGTTGAAACTTATCTATATAAATGAGATCAGGCATTGTATGATATTGTATTAAATTAACATCATAGTTTACATAGGTTAAATCACATAGCAATGTCATCACAAACTGACTTTTATTGTTTATTTTTATGATAACTGCATTTGCAATCCTCCAAGTTTTCGTAGAGCAATTAATATGAAATAAGTTTGCTATATGCCTGCCAATGGGGTTGGCTTGGGAAGGGTGTGGAGGGGGAACTGGAGACATGGTGGAGGTTACACTGGTGGTGGGATTGTTGTTGGAACAGTGTATGCCTGAAAAAATTGTATTATGAATTACTTTGTAAATCCCAGTGGTTTAATAAGTGTAATTTTTTAATTAAGAAAATGAAAAATAAAGATAAAACTAATGAACAAATAATATTTAGCTAGATAAGTGCAAGAGCAGTTTCAGTGGGTGAAAACAGATAACCTATTGTGAACAGTGCGAGTGCTGGGAGGATCTTCCCAGGATGGGAGATGCATGCTGAAAGTAGATTTTAGACCGAACATGATTGCCACTCAATGCCTCTTTTGCAAACCTCAGCACCCAAAAGGACAGAGAGAACAAAAGAGAATGCCCTGGCACAGAGCCGGGATGGGATGGGGGCGATGGGGGGGGGGGGGGGTAGGGATACTGGAATCTTCGGGGGTGGAGAATGGGCCCAGGTGGAGGGATGGGTACTCAATCATTATATAACTGAAACCCAAGCACAAAAACTTGTAAGTCTACAACTATACCTCATGGCGTTTCACTAATAAAAAATTTTAAAAATATTATAATATAGTTATTAAACAAAAAACAAACAAACACTGTCCTTTCGTTGTTCATTGATCTGCTAGAACAGTCCCAGTAACGTCTCCATTTTTTTGAGACTTGTTGTTACTGTGTTTGGCATATTGACTACGTCACAGGTAGCTTGCCAGGCTATGCTGCACGGGTGAGATACTCTTGGTAGCTTGCCGGGCTCAAGAAAAAAAAAAAAGATAACCTACCCTATAGTCAGATTAAAAACAGCTAAAATACATAAAATTCAGAATGAATGAAGAAAAATAATAAAGTAGCACTGTAGCACTGTCCTCCTGTTCATCGATTTGCTCAAGCAGGCCCAGTAACGTCTCCATTGTGACTCTTGTTGTTACTGTGTTTGGCATATCGAATACGTCATGGGTAGCTTGTCAGGCTTTGCTGTGAGGGAGAGGTACTCTCAGTAGCTTGCCGAGCTCTCCAAGAGGGGTAGAGGAATTGAACCCGGGTCAGCAGGGTTGGCCGCATGCCAAGCAAACACTGTGCTATCGCTCCAGCCCAATAAAGTAGAGAAAAGTTAACATAATATTCAAAGCATAACATCAAGATAATAATGCAACTAATTCCAGTATTGAGGCAGTACAATATCATCTCAATATCTTCTAGCTTGACCATCTTTACCATTGATGTTAATATCATCTGAGTGTCAATCTAAGTAGGCAAGATGACTATACACACATCTTTGATCGCCTTGGAAGATGTCAAGAATATTTATAATCTGCCTGATTTTATACACATTTATAGACTCTTCTTTTATACTTATAGACTTTAGGTCCTGACTCACTGTCATCCAGAGTCCTAATTCCCATTATCACCCCAATGGTGTGTAAATTGACAGACCTCCTCTTGAGATCTGCAGTTTTTTTGGACACACACACTCTCTCTCTCTCTCTCTCTCTCTCTCTCTCTCTCTCTCCATATATCAATCACATTCCAGGTAATTTATTTGTCCATTATTATTTCATATCTATACTATTATCAAAAATACTATTAAAACGTTATTAACTGACAGCTTCACTTTTCACGTGTCCTTTATCCAGTTAAAATATTTGGTTAACTGAATGAAACGTCTCCATTTCAATATATGTCATTTTTTCTAACTCTCTTTGTTGAACTTTTGGAACTAATTAACCCCAAACCTAGACAAGTTCAAATCTTTTGACCACATCCTGACTACTGAGGTTTCATGGAGAAGGTTTATTGCCAACATATTATATGTAAACTCAATCACTGTCCTCCCATTGTTCATCGATTTGCTCGTGCGGGCCCAGTAACATTTCCATTGTGACAATTGTTACTATGTTTGGCATATGGAATACATCACAGGGGGCTTGCCAGGCTTTGTTGTGCAGGCGAGATACTCTCGCTAGCTTGCTGGGCTCTCCAAGAGGGGCAGAGAAATCAAACCTGGGTTGGCAGGGTTGGCTGCGTGCAATGCAAATGCCCTACCCACTGTGCTATCGCTCCAGCCCATAAACTGCATCACTGTTATTAAATAGTCCTTCTCTGAAGTTAGAGCTAGAATACTAAACTTACAGAAATACTTCTATACCTGCCTTTTCACTTTTGTGTATTTTCATCAGCCAGCAATGCCCTTGGAAATTATCTCCCACTCTATCTGTCTCTTCAGACTCAGTCTCACCGCTTCCTTGTCCTCCTCTCCTCTTCCTTTTATTCTTTCCCTGTATACTTTCTTTCCCCACCCTCTTGCTTCAAGTGATGTTTTGATCTGTCATCAACATTTAAGTCAACAAATCAGAAATAAATACTCCTTTCTTTTGTTCAAACAGAACTTATTAGGCCAACATTTGACTGCATGTTTATTCAGTCTTCATGATACTAAGCAATTCTTGGAGAGGAGTTGAGTGCCTTATATAATTTCTAGTACTGAGCAAAGTTACTGAAATATAGAACAGTCATGCAAACACTGGCTGCGAATAATGAATAATAAAAAGTAGTAAAATTAGATTAGACAGTTCAAAGAACATGACAACTTGCATGCACAGGGCTCCAGGTTTAATCAACAGTACCACATAAGATCCCTGAACGCAACTAGGTGCAGTCCTGGTGGCCTCAGATTAACAGGGGAAAAAAATAGTAAAATAATTTTCAAGCAAAACTACTTTAACGAATGATGAACTAAATAAAGTTCTACCAAAAACAAAAAGATACTGATGCATATACTACCCAAAGCAATCTACATATTGAATGCAGCCACTCCAATGGCATTTTTCAATCCTGAATATGTATGGAACTATAAAAGGCTCTGATTAGCCAAAGCAATTCTGAGAAAGGAGAACAAAGACATACTTCTGGATTTCAAATTATTTTACAAAGCTATAAAATTGGGCGCTATCATAAAAATAGATACATGGATCAATGAAGCAGAATAAAACGCCCAGAAATAAACCCAAAATAAATGGGTAATTTATAAACAAAGAATATACTATAGGGAAAGAACAGTCTCCTCAATAGTGTTAGAAAAACTGGAAAGAAAAATGCAAAAAGAATGAAACCGACCTACCATCTTAGAGCATACCCAAAAAAATGAATCAAATGGACTGAAAATCTGAACAGAAGCCTTGAAATTATAAAACTAGGAAGAAACATAGGTGGCCATCTTTTTGACATTGCCCTTGGGATAAGGCTTGAGATATCACACCAAAAGAAAGGAAACAAAGGTAAACAAGAGAACTACAACAAACTAATTAGTTTCTGCACAGCAAAGGAAATCAAGAAAATAAAAAGGCAGAGCAGCCATGTGTTATCTGAGAAATTAAAAAAGGTGATTTGTAAGTGTGTATACAAACACAGGAGGAGAGTATAGGGAAGAGAGGAAGGACAGAAAGAAGAGAGGGAGAAGGGAGAGGGAGAGAGAAAATGAGAAAAAAAGAGGGGAAGGAAGGGGGAGGAGGGGAAGGGAGAAGAGATGAAGGGATGGAACAGGAGGGGGAAGGGGAGTGCAGGGGAAAGGAGCAGAAGGGTGAGGGGATGGGAAGGAGGGGAAGGAAGTGGAAAGGAAGGGAGGGGAGGGGAGAGTAGGGGAGAGGAGAGAGAAAGAAAAATGCTGTATTATCTCTTATATGTGTAATGTAAAACACACCCAAACTCACAGATACAAAGAAAAGACTGTTGGTTGCAAGGGACAGGGTAAGGTGGTAAAAAAAAAAAAAAGAGTTTGATGTCAAAAAGGTACAGACTCCTACTTACAAAATAAATTAATCTTGGGGGTGTAAAATACTGTAGCTATAGATAATAATACTGTAGTGCAATAAACCATGTATGGAGGTGTGGGTAACCTGACCAAACTTACTGTGGTGATCATTTCACAGTATGTATCAATAATAAATCAGCAAATTGTACACATAAATATCAATTACACCTCAATTTTTTAAAAAACTAGTTCTGATAAACACTTTAACATGGTAAAATTCTGCAAACATTGTGCTAAGCAAAAACAACACACACACACACACACACACAAATCAGACAACAATGGCCAAATACTGTATGGGATACTCTTGCATTAATCATTTAGAATAAGGAAATTTGCAGAAATATGAATTAAAGGTTAGTAAGGACTAGGGGAAAGGGTTTAGAAGTTATTAATGTCTACAGCTTCTTTTCATGGTGATTTAAATGATGTTGATAACTGCAGGACACTGAATGTAACTAATGCCACTGAATTTTATACGTAATAGCTAAAATGGTAAATAAAAATTTTATGCTATAATAAAATTAATTTTATTATAATTTTAAAAATACTGAAATAAAGAATTTATTAATGAATTATATTATGAGACAAAAACTTAGAAATCATAATTACCTAAAAGCAAAAAATCTGGCTATCTTATGTATCAAATACAGACATTTGAACAAATTATACAAAATCAAATAGAAGTATGGAAATATGACTGAGGCAGAAGGATTCTCTATTCACACTTTTCAACACTTTGTAAGTACTCAATTTTCAACTGCAATATGGTCCTCCTTATATTAATACACTCGACAGTACATGTAATGACTGTTAAGTATTATCCAAAAAAGGCAATATTGGGGTAGTGTGGGAATGTGAGAAGGGTAGAGAAGAGAAGAAATGAACTCTATTACCTGGAGATACTTCTTCCTTCTGCCTTACAGTGTGGTCTTTTGTGAACTTCACCCTCTGGTGAGCTCTGATGCACGTCTTGCAGAGCCACTCGACACACTCAACACAAAATCCATTTGCTTCTGCGTTGTCTTCACAGCTTGTACACACCTAACACAAGAAACAGGTCACATTTATTTCCCCTGCTCTTTTCCTTTATTGTGATTAGGCCATTTCACACCCTCACTGCAGTGCTCACTCACCTTGGTCGCAGTGCTGGCTGGGAGTGACTGCACACTTTGGTTGTGGCACTCACACATTTAGTTTTGCTGTGCTAGAGATCAGACACTCTGCAAAGGATCGAGTGCACAGCCCCCAGCCAGTAAGGCAGGGGTTTATCCCCTGAGCTATAGATGTCTGGGTATATGTCTAGGCCCCTTACATCAATTTTTGAGAAAATTCAAAAACAGACATGATACTTGTTAGTCATATATGAGTGAAATTCCAACCGTAATTACTAAAAGTTAACTTAATAAAGTTTGTCAATCTAAAATGGCATTTTAAATCATACCATAAGGCCTCAGAACTGCAAAAAACAAGAAAACATTACTACTTTTGAGATGCAAATTGTCATTAGTACAATATACAAAATAGCCAGGAAGTACACAAGTCTTGAAAACAAGAAATAAATAAAGAAAAAAAATTAAAGTCAAGCAAGCAAGATCTTACAAAGGAAATACAGATTCAAATCCTAGGTCCGCTTTTATCTAGCTCAGTATTCCTGGGCAGGCTACTTAGAAGACTCGAGTCCTGAAGTGAGACCAGTAACGCAATTTTTAAAAAGTAGCTGTTAAGACTAAATGTAAGGCAGACAAACATTAAAATAATCACACTAAAGCATAAATTTCGAACTGAAAAATACCATAGTGAAAAATTATGAGAAGAATATAACTGAGGGTGCTTATCTCACTTTAGTGGGACTGGAGGATTGGAGAAAGAAACTGTCGAAGCAATATTTTCTCTATGGAGATATTAGCCCTCATTAGCTATGAAAGAAGAAATGCTTCAGGTTTAGAGAATGGATAGAAAGCAAGTATAACTGAAGAGAAGAGGTGGGGGGTTGGGGGGGTTGGAGGGGAAGACCGGAGAGAAGGAGCTCGAGGCAGGGCTAGCAGAGCACAGCTCAAAACAGATCACATGACAACTTTAGTTTTGTCCAAAGAAATCTCCTAAAAGTTCTTAAGTAACTAAGTGACACGGTGAGACTTACATTTTAAAAAATACCACTGGTTCAATGTAGAGAACAAATTCAAAATGGGACAAAAATTTCTGCATAGAGATAAGCTGGAGGCTTTTCCATCGGGTAGGTGAGAGTGGGTGGCAGCGAAGATAAATAAAGAATCTAGAAAGTAAAACAGACTGGTTTGGGAGATGCACTGGATACAGAGTGAAAGAGAGCTCCTGCTTCTAGCTTCTGCAACTCTGCATAAATGACTGGCACTATTCTCTAAAAATGAATCAAAGTTATAGATATTATCAGCAGTTCTTCATATAACCATTTGCAACTGGGGAAATAAAACTTTCCCAAGTCAGTGGTTTACACTAGCCAATTTCCTAGATAATAATCCAAGAACCTACCTTTTCTATATTCTTACCATCTCAAACCTTTCTGCTATCACCTGATATTATATTGATTTATTATATTATATATATTATATTGGGGCTGGAGTGAAAGCACAGCGGTAGGGTGTTTGCCTTGCACGCAGCCAACATGGCCGAACCGAGTTTGATTCCCTCCGCCCCTCTCGGAAAGCCCAGCAAGCTACTGAGAGTATCTCGCCCGCACGGCAAAGCCTGGCAAGCTACCCGTGATGTATTCAATACGCCAAACACAGTAACAATAAGTCTCACGATGGAGACGTTACTGGGCCAGCTTGAGCAAATTGATGAACGAGGACTGTGATTGTGATATTATATTGATTATATTACATTGATTCCTTGATACCTCCCAATCTCTTGCCTCCTTGTCTGATCCTCTGGATCTGAAGTCACAGTGATTCTAGAGATTTCTATTAAGGCTGGGGAACTGGTTCCATCCACTCCAGTAGCTTCTACTATGCACTAATACTTAACCCCTGCACTATACTCCAAGCGTGAGTCAGAAAATCTCTACAAAACCTGCGAGGGATAGGTTAACTCTATATTCACTTTCCAATCTGTAAAATGGGAATCACAGAAATACCGTATGAAAATTGTTTCTATATAGGTACCACTTTGCTTGGCACAGTTTGAGAGATCAATAAATGATGGTTAACATAAAGAAAAAAAAAACCTACAAAGGAGGTTGAGGACTTACTTAGTGGCTGAGTCCATGTCTCTCATCCATGAGTTCTGGGTTTAAGCCCAGCACTACCAACAAAAAATAACTGCCAAACAAAGATAGACCTTTAGTATAAAGTCAAATTGAAAAAGCAAAGTAGAAAATCTAATCATGCTTATTTAAGAAAGGTGGAAATGAGTGGTTTACTTGTTGCTTACAGTTTGAATATACAAATGAAATATGAGCACAGTGTAAAAATAATGCAAAATTACATAAAATTAGATATTTAAAATAAAAGAGCTGTCGAGAGTACAGCAGGTAGGGTGCCTGCCTTGCAGGTGACCAGCCTGGGTCAGACCTCCAGCACTTCACACTGTTCCCGGAACACTGGGCCAGAAGTAAGCCCTGAGTAACGCTGGACTTGGCCCCCCAAAATAAAGACAACAACAACAACAACAAATTAAATGACTACCTAAGAGGTAAGAAATAAGTTATAGATGAGGAGAGATACTCTGAGTTCTCTAAATAGTAATATCCTGTTTTATGACTTCTGCTTTAAAACTAAATGAATTTTAAAATAATGTATACGTTTGGCTTAAAAACTAAATCTCAACATCAAAATCAAACAAATGAACTATCTATCAAGTCGGTGTCTAAACAGAACAACTTCAAGTAAACGTAAGTAAGACATGGTGATGTGACTATCTCCAGTGTACACGTGGAAAAATGGCCGGATTCCTTCCCCTCTATTTTGACAGGAACAACTCTATTAATTTCTACTTTCAGCACAAATCCTCCTTTTCTATACTCTTAGCCTGCCAGCCATATTTATGCACTATGAGTTGCTTCCACAGCGGATTCTAACCAAAGATGGTGCTGGAAGGATCAATGCCAGAGGAAAAGGAAACTACCAACTTCGTTACTTTCCTAGTTGGCTGCAACTTCTGTGAACATCACACCAATCGGTGCTGCTTTACAACAACTGTAGCAGCAGTCCCTTCACCTACCAGCAGTCCACTCCTTTGAAAAAAAAAAAGTCACTGTGAAATTACAAAGTTATTCATGACTGGACTTCAGGCACACAATGCTTCACATCTATCTCTTCACCAGGGCTTACCCTTCCCTCCACCACAGCAGTCAGTTCTAGTTTGCATTTGCCCATTACTTCAGACACCAACACCACGGCCTTTCCTTTCTCCTCAGAGGCTTGTGACTGAAATTTCCAAGCTTGCATGGAGTGGAGAGTGGTTGACCTCCACAATCTCCCCGTGCTTGTGGTAGCCTGCCAGTCACGTCCAGGAACTGCCTTTGGTGCCGTATAAGCTCATTAACGGCCAGGATCCAGAGACTCAGATAAATCTCTTGGAAGAGAGCAACACAAGCAACACATTGCAAAGATGCCTCCAGACCATGCGCCAGGCTGTCTCATCCAGGACTACTTGAAAGGGGGTGGTTGAGTCCCTTTACCCGCCCCTAAAGAACCCCAGCAGCTGAAAATCTCAAGAACTCAATTGACATCATGCTCACAGCCAAATTCCTGGAGCGCACAGCCATGAATGCTCTAAACTACTGATACACTAAAATAAGGGCTAAATGGCTCCAAGGTGAAATACAACAATCTTCACACACTTTACTCTTAGGAAAATTTTTTTTCTTTTTGGGTCACATCTGGCAATGCACAGGGGTGACTCCTGGCTCTGCACTCAGGAATGACAACTGGCGGTGCTCTGGGGACCATATGGGATGCTGGGGATTGAACCCGGGTTGGCCACGTGCAAGGCAAATGCCCTACCCACTGTGCTATCGTTCCAGCCCCAGCTCTAAGGAAACTATTCATAACAAGCAGTACAAAAGAAATTATTTAGGTCTTACTTAGGGTGCAGGTTTTGGGGGAAGGGGTAGAAACATTTGAAATATGGTGGTGGGTAGGGGTAATGGTGGTGGGATTAATGTTGGAATACTAAATGTAATAAATTAGTGTGAACGACTTTATAAAAATAAAAACAAACATGATTTTCTGGGGCTGGAACGATAATACAGCAGGTAAAGCAAACACATCAACCTTGGGTCAATCCCCTGTATCCCATATGGTCCCCTGAGCCCACCAGGAGTGATTCCTGAGCACAGAATTTGAAGTAACTCTGAGCAACACCGGGTATAGCCCAAAAAGAAGCAGAAGCAAAAACAGAACAAAATAAAGAGCCAAGATTTAAGTATTGGAAATTCAAAATTAAATAAAATAAAGGTGTAAGTAAAGTAAAAATAAAGGCGTTATAAAACTGTATATTTATGATGCATATTTCTAAAGAAACTTTTCTGTCCTTATACATATGAGGTATTTATGTGGTCAAAGATATAGCTCAATAGGGTGAGCACATACTTTATATGCAGAACATCTGAGTTTGATCCCTAGTATCATTATGGGTCCCTGAGCATTACCAAAGTGCCCCCCAAGCACAGAGTCAAAAGTATTTCCCAGTAGTACCAGGTAGGACCCAAAACAAAATAAACGGCCAGAAAACATAAAAAAGTGTTTATGAAAGAATAACTGAAAGGACAACAAAATGCCCAACCCAAAGAGGAACATTCATCTAATATTCATAGTGTCAGCTGATATTCATATTGAGAAAAAAAAAGATCTAAACTATTTTAGAGTTCCAAGATGATACAAGGTCACTAGAAAACAAACAGTGGAAAATAACCTGAAAAGAAACAAATAGCATATCAGAGAACTATGAGATGACTTTAAGAGGCACAATATGAGAACCATTAGAATCTTTGAAGAAACAATATTTAAAGAAATCATAGAGAGGAATTTACTATACTTGAGGATTACAGGCATTGAGATCCA